GTTTTCTCTGAGCTTTTCTGAAGAAAAAGTTGAGTAGTATGCCTTTTTATAGTTTTTCCAATCATAGGAGGCACCAGCTTCCAAATAGTTCAATAGTCTAAGATACTTAGACTAAGCCAGGATACTTAGCCACAGAAACTGGTTAGCTGACTTTGGGCCAGTCACTCTCTCTCTCAGGTGAGACTGGAAAGTAGAAGAACATCTGTCTTCTAACCAGTACTGAACCACTGTGACAGATCCATAAATAAAATGAAGAGGTCCTCATCATCCAGTAGATTGATTTGGGATGATGATGATGATGGTCATGATGATAATGATGATATAAAGGTAAAGGTTCCACTCGCACATATGTGCTAGTCGTTCCCGACTCTAGGGGTTGGTGCTCATCTGTGTTTCAAAGCCGAAGAGCCAGCACTGTCCAAAGATGTCTCTGTGGTCATGTGGCCGGCATGACTAAATGCCAAAAGCGCATGGAACGCTGTTACCTTCCCACCAAAGATGGTCCCTATTTTTCTAGTTGCATTTTTTACGTGCTTTCGAACTGCTAGGTTGGCAGAAGCTGGGACAAGTAACGGGAGCTCACCCTGTTACGCGGCACTAGGGATTCGAACTGCTGAACTGCCAACCTTTCAATCGACAAGCTCGGCATCTTAGCTACTGAGCCATGCATCCCTCTAATGATGATATACATAATTTATAAATTAAATTAAATTAATAAATTTAATAAAATTAAATTTATAAATTACATTTTATTAGTTTGATTTATTTTATTAGTTTGATTTATATGCCGCCCTTCTCCGGAGACTCAGGGCGGCTTACAATGCATTAAGCAATAGTCTTCATACTTTTGTATATACCTGCTTAATAGGGCTTTTTTTGGGGCCCCCCCCAAGCGGTGTTCTATTTTATACAAGTCAGCTTATTGCCCCCACAAACCAGGTCCTCATTTTACCTACCTCAAAAGGATGGAAGACTGAGTCAACCTTGAACCTGGTGAGATTTGAACTCGCAGTAATTGCAGGCAGCTGGCTGCTAAATGCTACTTTTAACAGTAGTTTAGTCTGCTGCACCCCCAGACTCCTAAATTAGATGATATATATAATTTATAAATGTATATGTCCAGGAAAATCTGTTCATGGGAAGGAAAGCAATTATCAATAGCTTTCCTGGAAAAGAACAATGAGAAGACACAGTAGGGCACAGCCAAATGCAAGGTCTGCTGTCCAATTTGGATCCCTTGCAAGTTGGACAAGAATTACACAAACTGGCATGACACACAGAACTGGAGCAGCTTGAACAGTAAGTGCAGATACCCTGCAATTCAAGAATCAGCCTCATTATTTCATTTCCTAATATTATACGCTTTGTATATTTTCAATTAGATATATTGCCAAATTTCTTGATTTGATTTGTGTTGCACACAAATATTTAAATAGACAGCACAAAATGCAAATAATTTATCGTGTTCCCACCACAAGTCTATGCTACATAATGGAATACATGATCCTCCAGATTCTGAACTACAACTCCGAGCAACCCCAGCCAGCACGACCAATGCTGAAAAGCCCTGGGAATTGTACAGTTCAACGATATCTGGAGGGCCACCCTTTCTCCTTCCAGAGGATAAGCTGTCAGTGGCTACTAGTTACTTGCAAAGAAGATACTAGTTACTAGAGAATATAAGCACAAGAATCTTGCTTGTGAGTTTCTTAAAGGTATCTGAAGGAACAGAAATCTCAACCAGGGAGGCTTCTGGTAGCGTGCAAAAAAAAAAAACCCTGTCTGGTATTTTTCTCATTCAATATGATGAAAAAAGCTTAGCTTTTGACATTTCTTTCATAGGAAAATGAAAATGAGTCTGGAGTTTCTGCTTCTTTTGATTGTAAATGTCTTGTCTTTGAATGAGTAAGTTACCCAGAGGACTGTAGCCTCCTGGGCTTCCTATTCTTTAATTAGGTTTCTTCAGACTAGGAAATGTAAGCAGATAAGAAGGCTTCAAAAGAACGAAAGGATGTATACTACAAAAACAAGCAACAGCAAAATCACCCTTTAACACATCCAGCAACAAATTAAATATATCACTGTAGGAAGTTAGCACCACCCCTCTCCTAGAAAAATGAAATATTCTAGAAAATATTAAAAAGGCAGAATATTTCACCTAAAAGAAAAATAGAAATCTTAAGACAGAAACTCAGCCCCAGCTCCCTGCCTCCAGTGGTGGGTTGCCCCCAGTTCGCGCCGGTTCTATAGAACTGGTAGTAAAACTGACAGGAGGCTCCACCCACTGACCCTGACCTCATCAAAACGCTTCTGCGCATGCGCAGAAGAGCACATGCGCGTGCGAGCGAAGCGAACCGGTAGTAAAGGTAAGTAGAACCCATCCCTGCCTGCCTCCAGCAGATACTTTGGTTATTTACAAGACAAAAGGCTGGGCCAGTTTATCTACAACACAAAAGACATGGCCCTCAGGACATGATAGGATTAGCCCTGACTCAAGATCCAAACCAGGACAAAGCCCTGAAGCCATAATAGGAATTGCCCAAAGCCCTTTCATTACATCATCACCCAGCAAGATTCAACAAGGCCTGGGAGACAGGCAGCTTACAAAGTTAGCTAAGACCCCCACCCCCGGGAGTCTGACAGCCATATTGTACAGGAACAGGAAACTCTAAGGCAGGGCCCAAGAGAGGGTATAAATATATCCCTCTCTCCACTCCATGTGCTCTTTTTTGACCAGGACCCCAAAACGCCATGTGGTCCTGTCCACCATTAAACCATCTTTCCAAGCAGTCTCCAGTGTCTTTCTTCCCACTTGGAACTGAACCCAGATGGACATTTCTTCCAACACCACCAAGAGAAATTTGAAAGAAAATCTCAAGCACTCAAAAAGTAGCATAGAAAAATAAAAGTCTTTGTTTTTTCCTGAGCAGAAATAAACTTTAGAGAAACTGAAAGGGTTAGGGTTAGCTCTTGAGTTATTACCCACCTCAAACTGCCTTTTCAAAGTGAATTAAATCAATATCTGGGCCTTTAGTGAAGCACTCAGACACCATTCAGTCATTCTACAGTCAGTCTGGACTGCTCCCAAACATGAATTAAAAATGGTCCCAATAATAGTTGCAATAATTGGCCCAGAATCCACAGGACTGGTAGATTTAATCTGTTTTGCCTGCAACCTCATTCTATATAAAGGCATCATTTATTCACTTGGAAACCTATGAGCTGATCCTATGGAAGGGATTCAGAGTGGCTTTTTAGAATAACAGTAATACATGAATGCACATTAGGCCCATTTTGGTGAGCGACTTTGCTTCTCTGTTAGCTTGTCTAAATATGCTAAATATGTTTATGTTTAACGCAAAACTGCTTTCCAGCTAAGTAAGAGAAATTAGACAAGAGTGAACCTATTCATTCTTCATGGCTGAATGCAAGGATTCCTGAGCTACATAAATGTTCCCAGAGGAACACATTTCATTTTCCTGATCACAGCAGAATTAAATCATCCCAAATAATGCTCGACACAGGGAACAGATATATTTGTATTGCCCAATAGCGACATCTAGTGATTGTTCCAATAAATGTACAATTAATTTACTTTTCCGGAACTTCGTACATTAATTTTTACACAGTTACACATATTACCAATCAACAAAATTATTAAATGTAAGACTAGCTATATTTAGCAATCCCAGATCTATTTCTGCACTGTGCAGTGTTGAATGTCTAAAATACATTCTTTGTTAAATTATAATCTGCACATTCCTAATAAAACAAGTCCTTGAAAGCTAATAATATGAATAAAAAATACGACCAACAATGACTGCAAACCTCAAAACATAATATAAAATCAATATAACAATTCCCGAACAATACAACACTAACTTCCATTCTGAAAATATATACATGACATTTGTAAGAAAACGTACGATAATACTTAAGTTAGAGTTTAACCAAAAGTTTTTGACCTCTTTCTAAAGCAAACCAAGGAAGAATATTATGAATTTTGAGGAAAAGAGAGTACCATTAAGACCCAGTAAATTCTAGATAGATATCTGAGTCTGCACCTACTATCATTGAAAATAACCAAAAGTCTTGGATCACAATTAAGTGGGAAATTGTTCCTTCAGATAGGCAGGACCTAGGTTATTTAAGGAATTTATGTATCTAGACAAGAACCTTGAATTTAATCTAAAAAAAAGTATCAACAGAATCTTCTTTCAACCTAGGGCTGAATTATCCTATAAAAGCTTTTCATTTACAGTACGTTTTGTTTTTATATTAGTTCATCTAAATGCAATTATTCAGCTATATCCCATTCATAAACTTTTTTCCCTGCATCCTTAGGTATCTGCTTTCCAAGTCCAACTTTTATTTTTCATGAGTTCTCAAAATGAGCCCAGTCTGTTCTATAATAATACTAATAAAATATGTTTGCATTTTCAACAAATGTCCAGTTAAATGATAAAAAAAATAATAAATCAAGTGGTAGGGATTTAATTTCACAAGCATGGATGTCATCTTGACTTTTTTTGACTCCCTTGTGGTCAATCCTTGTTTGGATTTAGTGCTTGGAACAGGAACCCCAAGAAGTCCTAGGAATACCATATAGGGTAGACTTGAAATCAAAAAAATATCCCAGAAGTCAGCAATGCAAGTGATTTCTGTACTGTTGCCAAGAAAATTTATATAGCCATGTTCATGAAATCATCATCAGCTGAGCTTGATTTGAAGATTTACTGATTGGATCAAATGTCATCCAAATCTAAGCAATGTACTTTAAAAATAAATATGGTCTCATAAAGAGAAGGGGGAGAAAAACTCAAGATGTCAAGGGGCCCAAATGTGAGCTATACTGCTGTTTATAGTGGCTCAACTAGTATTCCTATAAGGTTACCAGAAAAATGTTATATATTGCAATTAAACTATAACTGAGACATGTTTTCAGCATATTTCTGCCTTTGGATCTCCAAATGCTCAGTAGAAGCTGTTTCTTTTTGTTTTCCCTAAGTGTATGGAAAAACAGTGCGAAGAAGAAATCAGTGAATTGGATGGACATACAGGAGGTATGTGCATGCCTCCTATTCTTCAGATAGCCCATGTGAGCCCTATTTGTATATAGACCGAAGACTGGGTTTCTAGTAAAGGTGTATAATATCCCTATAATATCTGTTTGGTGTCAATAGTTTTAGGAGGAATTGTATTCTTTATCTAATGCCTTACTTTATTTGCTTCCCATTTGTTTTGGGGGATTCATTCTACTAATTTGAAGGCATGGAGCTTTGGAGATCTTTTCAAGTATTAGTCCTCTGTGTATGAATGCTTTAGCCTTTTCTAAGGAAGGATCAGATATAATAATAACAACAACTTTATCGTCATTGTACGTGTATACACAGTATACCCATACAACGAAATTCACTTAACACCCAAAGACCAGGTCCAACACACATAACAATCCCCAAACACCTACTCACCCACCCACCACAAATTCCCCAACCCTAAACCACCCAAACATCCACACAACAGACCAAGTAATGCTGTCCAACAGCTCACTGATGGTGGCCCTTTAGTTCATTGTTGAGTGCAATTATAGGTCTGGGATAAAAACTATTAAGAAATATCATCATAATCATCATAATCTTTTTGTTATCCATTTTGATCAATTTAGGATTTTTGGATCCTGATATTGTGCCTCAATTGCTAAATATAGAACTCATTTGCAATGCAATGATACTCGGGTTGCCAGGTGTCCCCTATTTGAGCGGACAGTCCACTTTTTTCACATTATGTTCACTATTTTTTTTCACAAAATAGTGGACATTTTTTTTTATTCAAAAGCTTTATGATGAAATGGTACGTAATCTAAAGCTGTACAGTCTAAGAGAATAAGGATAGGAGAATCACGTTTTGTCTTTTTTTTTCATAAGTTAGAATGAGACAAAGATCGAATGCTCATTGCAATAATCACATTTTACACAACAGCGCAAAAAATGCATTAAAGCAGTTATCTTTTGATATCGAAAATGTAGTGCTGAAGGTTTTTGCCGAATTTTCGAATTCTGCGAAGAAACGAGAAGAGTTGAAATCATTTTTTGAGTTTTGCAAGTCAGAATTCCATGAACTTTTGCGCCATGTTCCAACACGTTGGTTAAGTTTGTTTAAAGCGGTCAAAAGACTTCTTTTAAACTGGATACCTCTAAAATCGTATTTTATTTCTCTTGGATCTGATGAGTGCCATAAGGTTATCTGGAACCTTATTTCGGATCAGGAAAATGAACTCGCAAAGGACGATGAGCCAACAATTTCAGAATTGTATTTACATTTCACGCACTTCTTCATGTCAATAATGCAAGATACCCTACTGAAGCTGGAAAGCAAGAAAATTCTCGCATGTGATCTTCACATTATCATGTGTAAGCTGCGTGATTCTTTGCCAAAAAAATACAATGAGCAGTTTTTTGGAATGAAAGTTTTATTTGCTTTACGTAAAAAACATTTGCCTGAGAATGCCGGGCAAAAGTTCAAGAAAGAAGCCATCAACGTGTATCAAAGAGCCATTGCGTACCTAGAAAAGTGGTATAATTTCACCGATTCAGTATATGAGACGCTAAGTTGTTTCAATCTAATTGATCGCAATAATCCTCCAACTTTAGAAGAAATGACGAATATCTGGTTATTATCACCATAGCGAGAAGAACTTCCACCCAACACTCTCTTCGATGAAATTTCTGCCTTAGAAGAAGTTTATTATTCATCTGCAGGGCAATTCATCCCTTGATAAGTGGACGTACTTTTTCAAGAAAGAGCCAGCTCCGAGTTTACTGAAACTGTTCCAGTATTGTGCATCAATTCCGGTATCAAATGCAAACGTTGAACGAATTTTCAGCGTCATGGGAAATTTGTGGACTGACGAACGTAACCGACTGCTTGTATCAGTTCGAAGTCAACTTTGTATATTTTTTAATATTTCTCAATGTTGTACTGAAATTAAAGAATTATTCCTTAAACACAAAGAATTGATCAAAGCTGCGCAGTCAAATAAAAAATACACACGACAGCAAAGTAAAATGTAATTTAATATTTTACATATTATTATAATATATTTGATGTTTTGAATTTTAAGTAAAGTTTTGAAGTGATTATTTTAATACATGTTAAAATGTTTGTAAAAAAATATATAATTTAATTGTAATTTTTTTTTTAAAAAATACTACTTAAACCCCCCCCCCCCCCCCCCTCCCCGCTTGTCTGCTATTTTTTGGAAGCAGACCTGGTAACCCTATCCAAAACTTTTCTTTAAAAAATGTGCAAATAAAACATATTCTTTTGCATCCCATGCTTAAAAATTATTACTTACTGTATATAGCTTCTATCTCTTTAGCAAAACATTGTTGTTTCTAAAATCAAGAAACCATTATGATAGACTCTATCAAGTGCAGAGAAGAGCAACAAAGATAATTAGGGGACTGGAGGTTAAAACATGAACAATTGCAGGAACTGGGTATGTCTAGGTTAATGAAAAGAAGAACTAGGGGTGACATGATACCAGTGTTCCAGTATTTAAGGGGCTGCCACAAAGAAGAGGTGTGTGGGGTTAACCTATTCTCCAAAGCACCTGAAGGCAAAACAAGAAGCAATGGATGGAAACTAATCAACTAATTTCAACCTAGAAATAAAGAAAAAATTCCCTAACAGAACAATGGTGGAATGGCTTGCTTTCAGAAGTTGTGGATGCTCCAACACTGGAGTTTTTAAGAAAGGATTGGACAGCCGTTTGTCTGAAATGGTAGGTTCTCCTGCTTGAACAGGTAGTTGGATTAGAAGACCTGCAAGATCCCTTCCAACTCTGTCAATCCCTTAATTCAGATATGACTGCAATTTATATCTGAACTACTGTAGTTATCTCTCTCCCCTGTTCTCTCTGCGGTCTACTTGTGTTTTTTCCCAGGTGCACAAAACAAAGCCTGAGAATTAGTACTATGAACACATTGACTCAAGGAAAATATCCTTTCTACCTCCTCAATGCTATTTTCATTTGCTATCCGGGATAAGGAGGTTAATTTTAACTAGAGCTTCTACACCAGGGTGTAGATACAGATACAGATACAGGGGGGGGAGAAAACCTGTGACTTCAACTCCCAGAATTCCTGAACCAGCATGAGTGGCTCAGGAATTCTGGAAGTTGAAGTCCACAGATCGTAAACTTGTCAGAGTTTCTATCCTGTAACTGGGACGGAAACATCCAGACGATCACCACAGGGCAACACTGCTGCAAGCCTGCTTGGAGGCTTCTTCGCCGCCGTCTCGTGCTCGTCCGCGGTTTTGCACTCAGGTGCCGTCGCCCTATATGTAACTACTCTCCCTTCCCTTCCCCTCCCCGCAAAGCACAAGGGCTTCTTATCCTCTTAGCCTCATTTCTTCACCTTGGGAGGTACCATCTGGCTTCAGTGGAGCCAGGAGAGGGGGGGAAACCTCTTTCAAGCCGCCGCTACAAAGCGAACGACCCACCCGCGGGACGGGGGGAGGGGAAACGGGGGAAGGGAGCTGCAAACCAGGCCGCGCGTTTGATTTCACCTTAATCCAAAACACCTGCTGCGGGGCACGCACCTGGGTCGGCAGACAACTTTGCCCCGACCGACTGCTTGAGGAATGGAGCGCTCGCCCTCTAGCGACAGGCGAAGGGAAGCACTGGTCGGAGCGTCAGCTTTAAACAGGTGCGCGATGTGTAGTTTGCGCCCAAACCAAGTTCAAAGCCACAGAGCTCCATTTTTTTACGTATTACGCAGTTCGAATAAGTAGGTTATTTTCCCCCGCTAGTGATTTGTAGTGGCTAACAGCTTCGCATATCTATACGGTGATCTATAGTTACTGGGTGATGCTGTGGAAAGTAAAACTCAAGGCCAAGTCAATTCAGAGACAAATGGATAGTTTTTTGGGGGGAGCAACAATAAGGACATTATTTTCCGTTGCTTTCTTCCCAGTCGTGGGATTTCCTAGTGGTCTCCCATTCAGGCAGAGCCCTACTGAATCCTATATTTTTCAACCCTATTGAAAAAGTGTCTTGGATGAGAAGTTTAATGTTTTTTTTTAAAAAAAACAAACAAACACCAAGAAAGTCCAGTTGCCTTTTTGGGGAAAAAAATCATCTTTGGGACCTATTGAATTCTGTTTATATTTTCAGGGTTAGCCAACATTAAACAAATACCTTGATGTGATCAAAATTCAGACTCTTGGCAATTGGCATGTATTTATGACAGTTGCAGTGTCCTGGGGCCATGTGATCACTTTTTGCAATCTTCTGACCAGCAAAGTCAATGGGGAAGCCAGATTCACTTAACTATATTGCTAACTTGACAAGTGCAGTGATTCACTTAACAGCTGTAACAGGTTGCAAAATGGGGCAAAGCTCACTTAACAATTGCCTTGCTTACCAATGGAAATGTTGGGTTCAAGAACCATCTATGGGTGTTTTTCTGGTTTTGTGACTTTTTATATACATTGAAATTGAACCACATTTTCTCATTTGGATATAAAAGGAACTCTTTAAAAGTCTTAAACACAACAGAAGTGACAAGTAGGGAGAAAGGTAGATTTTAGTTGCCTAATATATTGTGGATTATTAAACCAAAATTTATATCTGAATTGGCCCATTTTGAAAGCACTTTGTGGAAAATACATAGTAGATCAAGACTATGAGTCATGATTTAAATTCCATTCAAACCATTAAAGTTGGCAGAGTGAATTCAACCTGCTCTTACAGTCCATACTGAATAATGTGAAAAATGATTCTTACGTTCTTTCAAACACAGAAACAACCTTTGCATCATTTCTTTGTGCAGGAAGGGGTGAAATAGGAATGGAACTGAACCTTCATATTCTACTCCAAACAGTGTACAAAATTATGAATTTCTTTTAAGGAAAAAAATGCTTGTACAGTGGCTAGAGAAGCTAGAGGAGAAATTGTCTTCCAAGTCCATTTGAAGGTTTTCTCTGCCTTTTGTTCCTCAATATTTATTGAACTACTCATTTCATAATTTTAATAATACTGAATAATACTCAATAATAACCAAAAAAAAAAAAACATTTTAAAGAAGTGTCTGAAATAACATCCCAGTTGCATTGGTTTTGCTCTGCAGCCCTAAAATTCAACTGCTATATAATAAGGTTATTTCAGTACAAAATATTTTTTATCTAAAAAAAGATGCAGAACAGGCAATGCTCGGATGATTTGTAGCAGGTAAATACAATATATCAGTGGTGTTATGAGCAATGGAATTTCTCAACCAAATTTGTTTCTTTGACAGAACATTTTCTGTGTGTATGGTTAAAGGGGGGAAAATACCACACATCTAGAAATATGTGATTTATCCCCTATGTTTGGAATGTAGCCATCGCTCAGCTTTGGCTATCTGTTCAAGTCTAAATGTATTTCCCTGGTTACTGGATTTTCTCTTTAAGGAAAATTGCAGAGAACAGCATTTCTTGAGGGAAAATGAATATCTTAGCAAAAGACTGCTTCTTTGTGCAATAAAGCACAAAGAAGGACCTTGCCAAAAAACGTGGTCATTTCTCTTCAAAGAGATGACAGTAAGATTGCAGAAAATCCAATACGAGTGAATGTTTTTTTTAATGCAGCAACAACTGTAACCCCTTTTCAAACATATGAATCTATTCATCATATTGTATGCCTTTGCTTAGAAAGTGTCTCCACCCAATGTTTGATTTATAAAGCTGAAAACCATATTACAATCTGCCTTCCCATTTTCCCAAAGGTTTCTTCCCCAAGGAAGAAAATTCTAGTTTTCTATCTCATCCTCGGAGTGGTTTAGAATTTCTTTTGGATTTTGTTTGGGTGGTGCTTTTGACATTAGTTGTAAAAATGACAGAACATGCTGCTCTTTCTCGATCGCTTTCCCTGACTTCATCCTTTCTGATTTCCCAAAGGTTTATAGGGAGAGCCCCCGCAAGCTGTTCTGTGTTGGGGCTGAAATGAGATATAGCAGACCAGGAAGATTATTCACCCTCTTAGTGAGATGTCTGTATGGTAAGTATTCTTACACAATTACTGATGTCTGTGCATCTAAGAAAATGAAAAATCTGTCACTTATGATTATTTCACCAAAATTTTCTACTCCTTTGCAGGAAAAAAAGATATCTTTTTAAAATCAAAAGTGCAAGAGAAATTTTTAGGAAAAAACCCCTAATGAGATCCATTCTTTTTCTAAATTAAAAATTCAGATGAACATCTCCCAGTGATAACAGTTAGACCCACAGCAATGATTTCATTTCTTTGCCCTCTTTAAAACCAGTTTGTTTGGTTCTTTAGAAAGAGAAAGACAATATGGCAGAGCAACAGGAAGCAGAATGAGGAATCCCCAATGGTACAATTCCCAATAACACTCTTTCTATCTATATGGCTCTTTATGCATATCGGTGCAAGTACATGCTTAGGTGGTACAGCCAAATTCCTGGCCTCCTTAATGACTGAGATCTGTTTTAGGACTAAAGATGGTGTTGGAGACTTTGTACGGTAGGGAATGCCAAAATTAAAAGCAGCTGCCTGATTATATTCAGATATTCACAGCATTTGCCAAAAATTCCTAATGTGGGTGGCATGCTTTGAAACAAAAAATCTTTCTGTGGGAGGTCTGTTAAAGCACACAAAAATGCACAAACACACAACACCACTGGAAGAAAAGTGGTGATGGCCGGGGATTTTCTTTTTCTCTATTTCAGCTCCCTGTATATATATAACATATATGTTATAGTTGGTGGAATACAGACACCAGTAGCTTGGCTTGAAAGATAGTGTCTACAGTAGAGATACAAGCATGTATGAGCATGCTTCGGGTAAACCGAGTTTGGTGTATCCTTTCGCCAGAATATAGCAAAACTGAGTTGTGTATAAATTGCATGTGGCCTGTGTACCCATAAGCCTGGAAATCTTTTCTACATCTTTTCTGAATTACTAAAGTTCTTACGTGAAAGCCAGCTAAAGTGCAGATGTCCACTAGCAAACTATCTCCACTAAACTAGTGATTTAGCCAGCCAATTTCTTTGAGATGACAAATCCCATAGGGGTTTTCACAGTGGATGGAGTTAGATCTCGGATATCTCTGGAGCAGGGTGTCAAAGTGGTGGGACGCGAGCCAGTTGCATCACGCATAAGCCACACCCACCCCAGCTCCGTGAATGGGAAAAACGTCCCAAAACATCAAGTAACAGCAATGTGACGCCACAAGTTTGACCCCCTTGCTCTGGAGGAACTGAGCTGCAGTTGTCCAGTTCCTGCACAACTGGAAACTGTGTCCAGTTTCAAAGGCATATTTGGAATAATATTAAAAATGTTGGTCTTCAGCAAAAGTCAGATCATGCAATGATTTAGCAATGGAAAGAGAAACACTGTTTATTCACAATGTCATTTCCTTGCATTTCTGCTGATGATACTAGTTTTGCAATGCAACACCAGCAGCAGGAGTAAAATGGGATTGTCAGTGTGTGTGTGTGTGTGTGTGTGTGTGTGTGTGTGTGTTTAATGCCAAATTTTATCTTGTTTCTTCTATCATTTAATTCACAGATGTCCCCTGAACATAAATTGAAAATAACCAATAGAAATCATAAAGCTGGTTTTCATATGTATAATAAGTTCTTTTATCTCTATCAGTCCTATGAAGGGATACCTATAATAATAATTGCAGAAGTAAATTTTTAAATTCACAAATTTCATCGTCAATGAGGGTTTCTGAGTAATGATTAGCAAATTAGCCTGTATTAAGAATACATTTACTTAAATTGGACCTTTTTCACCTCATCTGAATCAACTAATACAAGCTTAAAGAAATCACCCAATTACCTCTTCCTCCTAATTGCTATTTCTTGATATCAGAAATTCCAATGTTGAATTCCTACTCAGCTTTCGTTCTTCCTGAAGACATATCGTAACACTATAAAAGGGTGACATCTGCTGGCTGCTTTGTTTATTACTCTATGCAGAATGGTGCTGAGCAAAATGAAAGTTAAAGAATTTTACACAGCTCAAAAAATAATATTATGCTTAAGTCCACAATGGGACTTTAACAAAAGTCTGAAAACCATATATTCCTTCTCAGTTTGTTTTGTCCCAATTAAACATTCAAGCAGAGACATCACCCTGTCAACAAAAGTGTGTATAGTCAAGGCTATGGTTTTCCCAGTTGCAATGTATGGCTGTGAAAGTTGGACCATAAGGAAGGCTGAGCGCCAAAGAATTGAGGCCTTTGAACTCTAGTGCTGGAGAAGACTCCTGTTGAGTCCCTTGGATTGCAAGGCGAACAAACAAGTCAGTCCTAGAGGAGATCAACCCTGACTGCTCTTTAGAAAGCCAGATCCTGAAGATGAAACTCAAATACTTTGGCCACCTAATGAGAAGGAAGGACTCATTGGAGAAGAGCCTAATGCTGGGAAAGACTGAGGGCAAAAGAAGAAGGGGACGACAGAGAACGAGGTGGCTGAATAGAGTCACTGAAGCAGTTGATGTGAGCTTAAATGGACTCCAGAGGATGTTAGAGGATAAAAGGCCTGGAGGAACATTGTCCATGGGGTTGCGATGGGTCGGACACCACTTCGCAACTAACAACAACAAACATTCAAGGATTCTTCACCCTGCCTTCATAAGGCATGTCCTCAAATCCCTCTATTGTCTTTGTTGCTGTCCTCTGAGACTCTTCTAACCTATCAATTAATCTTCTGGAAGTGTGACATCAGAACTATGTCCAATACTCAAGGTGTGGTCCCATCACTGCAGAGCAGAGGGGAATAAGGACTTCGTGTGTATTGGTCTGTGGATATGGTTGTACTATAAGCCTGCATTCCTACACACTTCTATCTGAAAGTTAGCCCTATGGGATCTCAAAGAAATTGGCTGGCTAAATCACTAGTTAAGTGGATAAAGTTTGCTAGTGGACATTGGTATTTTAGCTGGCTTTCACATAAGAATAATCAAATGACACATAATGTTATTTCTTTTTAAGTATCAACAAAATTTGATTCTTTTTAAGTAAATACTTACTGGGCCATTCTACACAAGGTGTCTGTAGTTTACTAGGGCATGTATAGAGTTTTGTCAAAATGAGGGAAGGAGCATTGCAATATGCTTCACAAGCTGGACCTCTTTCATATGTGTGACTAATGATATCACAAATATAAAAGATGGGATTTTTGTCATCCCAAAAATTTCATTTTGTCAATGCAATACTCTTTTCACTTTTGCCTCCCTCTGCGTACAGCCCTAACCGTACAATTTCTTTGCGTTAGTAATCATTACAGAAAGGACATTTGGTATAAGTTTTGAACCAAGAAGTTATCTCTGATGGATTTTGAGTTTTGGAGTGAATTACTGTATTAAAGCAAGCTAAAATTTATAAGGAATGCTATTGTGGGGATAATGGAAGCCTCTTAGTCATTTTAGTCTTTTAACAATTATCCACAAATTTTGTACAGAATAAGAAAGTAAACTCCATCTGATAGGTAAGTCTAGGTTTTTATTAATTCTGGAAAAGTTCTTCCATTTAATGTCAATATCCAAAAGAGAATGGTGTTCTGAAAGCAGAATTTATTTTCAGATTGTTGGACTTCAGCTGCTATAATCATTGACTCATCACATAACAGAACCAATAGCTGTGTTAGGATTATCGAAAATGATATCTGGCATATTTGGAGACTGAGGAAGGCACTACCAATTCTTCTTGAACAATTTAAGTATGTTTACCTGTATGCAGAGAATCAGAATATGAGAGATTTCTAGCAGTTCAGTTTTTGCAGTACAGCTCATATTTCATCATCATTCCAAGCTTAGTTTTAGCTATAGTCTCCTCAAATTTTCTGTCCATTTTTTTATTCTGGCTTTCTGAGAAGACAGATGTCCAATCACCTACTATGCCTAAAAAAGAAAAAGAAACAATTACAGTGGTTAGTGGAGGGTAGGAAGGTAAAGGTAACCCAAAGAATAACTATTCTTCAAAACTCCTCTAAAAGCAACAGAGGGTTTTATCGCACAATAAAGACACCTTCATGGGACATCTTCAAGCAGTGGTCTCCACTTCACATGGTTCATGAAATGTTAATTTTAACAAAGATACTTTATGCATCCTTAGGAAATGTTCCATTTCTCAAATTTGGAAGAGATCTCTCCCCCCTGCCTTATCCCTCAAAAAGGTTAGCCTAACTCAGGGGTCAGCAACCCACGGCTCTGGAGCCTCATGTGGCTCTTTCATCCCTCTACTGCGGCTCCCTGTCGCCGGTCGGCTCCACAATCGGTAAGGCTTTCTGTTAGGACAGATAGAGGAAAAAGGATGCAGCACTAGGAGAGACTCTATTGTGGGGAACCGGACTTCCGGTTGGCTCCAGAATTGAATGGGGGGCTTCCAATTAGGACTTTGTGGCTCTTTGAGTGTTTTAAGGTTGCCAACCCCTGGCCTAGCTATTTGCTTTGGATGAGTAACAAAGACATTTCAATTTGTGTAGAGTACTATCAGACTTTATAAGATGGGATTTGTCCCCTTTTTCAGCATTTGACTCTAGTCACCAAGAAGACTATCAGATAGGACTTGATGAGGTTTAAATCTTTTATTTTACAAAAGAAAGAAACCCTTAAATAAAATAGCTGATTCCTTATGGCAGTGCAGAGAAGTCATATTTAAAAGCAGGAATTCAGCAGTTGTGATTTGCCCCGCTGCCTGTCACCCTCTTGCCATCTGCTCCCATTACTGGACCTATCATTTTCTTGACTTTCTGTTTGTTCCTTACGTATTGAAAAAATATTTATTATTATTGTTGTTATTATTATCATCATTATTAGCATTAGCATTAGTTGCCAGTCTTAGCAACTCATTCTGGGTAGGGGTGGGCTTCAAAAATTTTAGTAAATGGTTCTTTGCCTGGTTGCTGGATGGGCATGGCCATGGTGGGCGTGACCTAGTCGGCCTCCTGCACCATGGGGGGGGGTGTTTTTGCCCTCCCCGGGCTCCGGAGGCTTTCCTCGAGCCTCCGGGAGGGCGAAAATGGCCTCCCCAGGTTCCAGAGGCCCTCTGGAGGACAGAAACAGGCCCTTTTCTGGCTTTCCCAAACTTCCGGTAGGCCCATTTTTTGCCCTCCCCGAGCCTCCGTGCACGCCCTGCACTTACCTGCATCCAAAACGGGCCGTGTGGGGACTCTTGGGAGGGGTGGGACAGGGTAGGTGGCGCCAGCCAGGAGTGGGATTTGGGGGTTCTCTGAACTGCACAGAATCTTAGCTAGAGGTTCCCCCAAACCTCTGCAAACCCCCAGCAGCCCACCTCTGATTCTGGGCCTTAGCTTTCCTGATTCTCTACTTGCAGATTTGGGCTATTTGCTGGTATTCTGATTTAGTTTTGTGCCCCTTTACCCATTTTTAAAACATATTTGATCTTTTTGTCCCTCAGTTTATCAGAGAGCACTTAGGATGGCAAGCCTAACAAAATGGTTATTAAAATCAACATTTACTTTAACTATGTCATACCATAGATCAGGGGTCACCAACCTTTCGGACCTCAGGGACCACTACATTCATAATTTTAAATCCCGTGGACCACTAATATGATCTGCCTAATGCCTGGCTGGATGGGTGTAGCCAGGTGGTCATGTCAAGGGGCGCCTCTCCGGCCTCTACTTGCCCTTCCCTTCCCAGCCACTCCTCACCTCCCCACCTGGGCTCCTTAGGGCCCCAACAGGAAGCAGCTTTTGGAGCTAAGCAGCCACCACAAGAAAGAGTTGGCAAAACAGCTGGTTCAGTTCAAATTGGATCTGGCTGTGAAGGAGGCTCAGTAAAAGCAGCTCACTGAGGACTATAAGCATAGGCTTTCCAAGCAGAGGGAAGACCTGTGGGAGTGCAAGGCCAGATAGTGGAGGCTCAGTGGGCTGAGATGGTCAGTCAGTTCCAGGCCATGATGCAGTCCCACTGGAACAAGGCCCTCTGGCTCTGCGCCACTAGTGGCAGTTCCTTCCAGCTTTCACCCAAAGCCCCACACCAGGAGGCTGAAGCAGACCCCGAGTCAGAATTTCTGCCCCCCTCTGACCCACACAAAAAGACCCTGAAGGGGGAGATTCTCTGCAGCAACACAACTGTTCATTGCACGTATCCAGCCCAGGGGCCGTAATTTGAGGACCCCTGATTTAGTGCAATATAAAAAATGCAAATAATTTTTCTGTGGACCACCAAAATTTTCTCACGGACCACCAGTGGTCCACGGACCGCCAGTTGGTGACCTCTGCCATAGATAACCATGCCATCCAAATCTTAATTCATGACCTTCTAAGTCAAGTAGCCTCTTATTTTGGAGGTTTGCCCTGTCTTTTAGCCAGACCAAACAGCTAGCAGCAAAATACCCTAGTTTTGCTTCCTGTATTTCCTGATTTGTACTTGAGTTCCCCTTCTTCACCACTTTGAATACTTTGAGTAATGGGAGCTGAAACCCCACATATCACGAAGCCACTAGGTTAGAGAGGATTGCTAAATTTTGTGGGCAAAATTATTAAAAATACTATAAGTTACCTTTGCGGAAAAGTACCTGGCCCATTTTTCCATAGGTTCCTGCATTATCTTTCATGCTTTCAAAACGTGTTTCCTTTACAATGCTCTCAATCTTTTCTTCGGTCACAGAAAAATCAAAGAATTTGGCTATTTTTTTCAGTGCTGAGGCTGGATTCTGAATAACCCAAAAATATATATAACGTAAATTAATAAGGCTTCCCTGGAAACATTTCAAATATCTCTACTCCAAATCTTGATCTGGGTACCACCCAAAAATTTTGATATTTGAAGGTTGGACTTGTGTGAATTAGAAAAAATAAACAAGTGAAACAAAGCATAGTCTTCATTCTTTCATTGAAGTATTAGCAAGAGTAGATCAGCTGATCCAGAGTTTGACTTTAAAAAGAAAATATTTCTGATATATTTACCAGTTGCTTAGAGAAAAGTAACCAAGCAGAAGTCTTGAGTTATAGTTCCTATTTTTATTTCCTAATTAATTGTTCATTACCATAGAGTAGTTGGCAAAAAATAATTTTATTCTCAAATTAAATCTAAATCTTTATTATTAAAAAGTTATCTCTTCTACCAACAATCAAGAAATAGCCAAAGAAGTCAACAGCAACAGCAAACAGTCCAACCAAAGAAACTCTAAGGCCATTTCCCACCGATATTGACAAGTAAGCCACCAGAACATAAACTGACAGAAAACAGCTTACTAGCTGTTACTTCCTTACTAGCACTGATGATGTTACCTAGTTTGGGTAATAAAATGTCTGAAAGAAAACAAGCAACTTCAGATAGCATCAAGGATCCCTCACTTACCTCTTTTATCTCCTCATAGGTAATAAAAAATATATTGCTGTCATCAACATACTTGTTCCATTCAATAATATAATCAAAATAAGATCCATAGACCACTGATAGGAATTAAGCAGAACACATTGATTACTTATCCATAACAGAGTGAATGATAATGAGAATATTTATTTTGCTGTTTAGCCCCACAAGCTCACAAAGCAAGCAAGCAAACAAACAAACAATGGTGTGAAGCTTATAAGACAAAGTTTGGAGTAATGGAACAAAACGCTTCTCTGAATATTTCTTCCATAAGAAATTCAGAATACTGCTTTAACATTAGACATGTGGAAATTCTGCTTTGAATAATATTAGAGAAATGTAATTGCTTGCCCATTAACTATTCATTATTTCCGTTAATGTTTTATATTGATTCCAATGTGATCTTTTACTATACCCTTTCTATTTAGTATTTTCTTCTGATTATTAACAAATGTTGAATACCATAGGTGATGTAAATTATTGGTCACCATTATTGGTTGTTTTTGTTTTTGTTGTTATTGTTATTTTAATTGTTGGGTTGCTTGTCTAACAGGGGCATCTGTAGGAGGAATCAAAAACTTATGACCACTCAGTCAAAACCTTGCTTTTTCTTTTTTACACGGACAACACATTTTTAAAAGATACAGGATTTTACTGCATAGTTCCAGCCATTCTCTTGACATTTTTGACAGTTTCCTAGTCACTGAAGCCCCTGTTTATTAATAATGACTGTTCATTAGATTGCCTCAACTGTTTACCAAAAGTGACATGTTCACCAAAAGTGAATAGCTTTCCATTCATTCACAGTGTATAATTCCAGTTTTTATTTATAGTGTATGTTGCTTTATCCTGAAGCAATGGAAATAAGTTTCAGTATTGAAAGACAAACAGAACAAAAGAGCCCTTTGTCCAAAGAGATCTTGCTTCTCATCCACAGACAGATGGAGGGTACAGGAGACCAAAAGAATAAGGCCAAGGGCTCTATCCAGTCCATTTCCCCCCTTATTCGAATCATTATTTTTTTTCCAATGAAGAAAGAGAAGCAAACATACCTTTTCCAGTGATAAAATCTTCAAAGTACTCATCCCAGGTTTCCTTGTCAGAAATCATTTTGATGCCTTTGGAAAAATGGAAGAAAGATACAGCTGTGTCCTTTGGATTCCGTAACAAAACCAGTATCTTTAAGGCAAAATCACATATTGACATGTAAATATAAAATCTAGAAGACCAGAGCCAGAAAGCTGAAAACATTCCATTTTTAAAAAATTGCAGTATGAAAGTTCAAATGTAGCCACCCAGAGTCACCTTGTAGGGGACATACATGGCATAGAAAATAATAAACAAACGAACAAATAAGGAAATCAATTGAATGGTGATTAAAGGTAAGATAACCCAATTAGGAGAACAGGAATTTTTCAGGAATTTTTCCAAGACCATTTCCCAAGATCCTAAATAAACTATTGTAAGCAGCGAAGCTCAGAACATTTGACCTGAAATCTTTAACTATGGCTCAGTTTAAATATTTAAGTGAAGATTTTATTTATTTATTTATTTATTTATTTATTTATTTATTTATTTATTTATTTTATTTCTTAAATTTATTTGCAGGTCACCTCATGTTGAAACAACTCTGAGTGATTATATCACTGATGTGATGAACTTGCCTGATACTAACATAACACTAAATAATGACATTCAGTGGCAATAAGTCTTAGACTTTGGGCTCCAGTGATGCACCTTTCTTGTTTGCTTGAATACCAGAAAAAGAAAGGTTTCAATTTTTATTCTGAATAAAATACAGTTTTGCTTAAATCCAGGCCTGCTCAGGTCATGAAAATCTGATGTAATCCTGGGTGTGTGGTCCTATTTTACTGTGTAAATTTATTTGACAACATCTCATTGATATATGTACTATTGATATATAACCTCAAAATCAAGAAAATTAAGGTACTTACTTTTGCCTTTTGTTCAAAAAGAGACCTGGGCAATTTTTGAGGGATGAGGTGTGTTTTTATAATTCGTCTGGAAGGCATTTTTTCCATCGTCTTTTATAATGTTAAAATCATAATGCAAAGAAAATCATACACAAATATAAATTAGGGATATCAAAGTTCATCTCAACAAAATGAGTCCCACTGAACTTTGTCATCATAAACTGCTGTGATGCACTGGAGGAAAGTGTCAAAGAAGGGCCCGAATTTGAAGTCATTGTGCTAGAGGAAACAGCACAAGTCAAACCCTCCTCAGAATTCTTGCTATTCCTAAGAGAACACATTCAATCTGGTGAGATTCTTTAAATTATTCAATTGGAATAAAAGAGAACTAAGAATTCATGATAAAATACAAAGCTACTGAAAATAATTTTAAAATAAGGACAAGCTGAAGTCTCTGACTGAATCTTCCATTCAAGCCCTAACTTGTTTGCCTTCATACAGCCTGTATATGCTCTCTGAAGTGGTGATATGTATTTATCACTGATACATGGTAGCATATTATCGAAAATCAAAGATGAAATTTCATTCCTTACTTAAGATCAATTAAATTTTGGGATAGAATCAATTCATCTAAAAAAACAAACCAGCCAAGGTAAAAATGTTGTCTCTGCTGATTTGGGCCTTGATGTCACCTCTGTCTGTCACCTCCTTTGTCACCTCTGTCTGTCTGTGAAAGTATCATCACTTCCCATCAACACATACACATTGAGAATTACTTCTGAAAAGGATGCCTGTTCCTACTTTAGCTTATTTCTCATAGATTGATGTTATGATATTTAAGGGCAGAATTCAGACTAGCAAAATCTGCTTTGTTTTTAGTAGCGCTCCAATGATTTACAACACATTTTTGCAGTGAGCTGATTAAACTGAAAACACAGCCTCACACACAAAAATCCATGTTTCTCTCCTGCACCTGTCTAGGTTGTTTTATTTCCCCCTAATGAGTGAATTTCACTTTGTTAAAACAGAGATGCTCTTTCCTACATCAGCTTTTAAATCTTTCATGTGACTTTCCTGCCACTTGATAAGAAGCTACTGAATATTTCTCCAACTTCTAACCTCAAATTTTCCTGGCTCTCCAAATTCAAGAAAAGAAATCAGTGATGATTCTTGCAGTGTTTGCTGCCTTTGTTTCTGTTCATCTTCCTCATATTTTCCAGAGGCAACTTCCAGATGCATTAAGATCTCCTTAACCCAGTTTGAACCTGAAGAAATGCAGAAATGCTATCAGTTAATATATAAAAAGCTGTAGCCTGACCATAGATCATTTCAATGACATCAGAGTTGAAAGTATAAACACAGAATGAGAACATGCAGAAATAAGCATTGACTAGACATGCAACTTCAAAAAGAATGAGAGGAGGGTGCAGCTCGGGGGTTTGTTGCATGCACAGGTACGTAGGTACGTAGACTTGTTGAGCAAGAACTTACTGGTAGTATTAACCAGTAACTAGAAAAATGGCAACTATCAACTGTCTCCTTAAAATAAGAATATAGAAACATAGAAAACTATCTGATAGAGCTGTATTACAATCTACATTGCATGAAATATTCATGGTCTCAAAATCAAAGTCCTTGCAACCTTGAATAGATAAAACTATCCGATTTCACTAGATATATACTATATGTAATTCTTTTGGGGTATATCCACAGAATACAGAATTTATCAACACACCAATGTTTGGCCTCCAAAGAACCTGATACAGTCATTTTTCAATACTACACGTACAGTAACATGACTTTTACTAACTGTTTTTAAAATATATTTTCATATATTGCATGGATTGATATGGAAAATGTGTGATTGACATTTTCAGAATTACAATATTGTTCATATAGTTGATTACTTTAAGCAGAAGTGCCAACATCATGATCTGTGTATTTCTTGAAATATACAGATGATCAAGAATGCCATCTTAGACATAGTAATCATTGAGAAATTTCATTACAACAAATTATTAAATGCATCACAATCAAATGTGTAATACTTTGGAATCTGCAACTTTTTTATTTAATAGGAACTCTGTTACAAACTCTAAAGAAATGATTAAACATGGCTACATACATGCAAAAGCATTACTTGTAAAACTATAATGTTTACCTGTTTTGGGATATGTCGCTAGTATGATATCATCTTCCCGAGCTCTAAAAGTATTAATATTTTTCAGAGTTTCCAGGGAACAGATCATAGTGGGATATAACACCCCATCATACATAAATGTCCGTTCTGAAACAGCCTTCTTTTCATTTTCTTCCAATTTTTCATCCAGAACCTTGCTTAGGTGTTTTTGAGTCATGATTGTACTACTCTAAGACCACAGATGGGTAGCTTAGAGATTCGGTTGGCTTCGTAAGTGAAGTTAATCCATTTATAGAGAAATCAACTGTCACATGACAAAGAACACGCTCAAAGAACAGATCATGTTATTAATTAACTATCATGAAGTAAATCTATGAACAAAGTTTATTCAACCCTTCCTCCTGCAAAACATTTTCTAATGAAGTTGTGGCCAACTTGGATTGAGTAGATAACATGTTAGAGAGAAAGCTATTGTTAGGGGGATAACTGACCTGAGGCAACCTTCTCTGAAAATGGAGATAGACTTCCTGAGTTCATGAAACACTGGCTGGACAGCATGCTAAAAATCTCAGAGCTACACTTTCTCAGAGCAAAAGAGGTGGCAGTAATTAACCATTGCAAAACTAGGATAGAGGTAGTCCTCAATTTACAATCCCAATTGAGCCCAAAATTTCTGTTGCTAAGTGAGATGGTTGTTAAGCAAGTTTTCCCCCATTTTACAACCTTTCTTGACAGTGAAATCATTGTAGTTAAGTTAGTAACATGTTTGTTAAGAGAATCTGGTTTCCCTGTTGACTTTGCTTGTCAAAAGGTTGTAAAAGGCAATATCTGCAACCATTCTAAGTATGAATCCGTGGTCGTAAGTCACTTTTTTCAATGTCATTGTAATTTTGAATGGTCTCTAAACAAACTGTTGTAAATCGAGGACTATCTTTTCTTAGTCCAAGCCCCACTGCCATAACCCGCCCATTTTTGTTACCATTGAGTGTGCTACAAAGTTGAATCAAAGTTTAGCAAGTTAGTACTGGCTGTTTATAACTACTTTGAAAGGCTTGAAGAAATATTAAAATTGAATAAATTATATAAGATACCGGCAAGGTATGAAAAGCTGGCCTTGTGTAGAAAGCCTAGGAAATCTATAGAATGTGTGACATTTTTGGCAAAGTATGAAATGTCAGTGTTATTTAAAATGCTATATATGCTCCCTTGGCATTGTGTATAATACCTAGGCATTGTGCAGAATGACAAGAACTATTTAGGCAAAGTAGGAAAAGAGAGTCATGAAAAGGGCTAGTGTTAAGCCTAACTCTAACCCTTTATTGAAATGGCCTATATGAAAATGAAAGAAGAAATGCAAAATCAAGTACAGGAGTTTCTTACTGGAAAAAAAAATGATCAGTAATGACCTACTTGCTTCAACAGGGAAGGTTAGAATGGCATTTTAGCGTGAGCATTTTATACTTCATACAGTTTGCTTTTTGGTATTGCATAAAATGCCTAGGAAATAGAATGGAATGGAATCGGGGGGTGGGTTTTTCTTACCTTTACTACCGGTTCACAACGGGATCACGCACAAGCCTTGCTTCTGCGCATGCGCAGATTGCTGATGATGACATCTGGGGTGGTGGGTGGGGCCTCCTGCCAGTTTTACTACCAGTTCTTGCAAACCGGTCCAAACCGGGGGCAACCCACCAGTGAATGGAATGCATAAGCTACATAAGCTCACAGTGTACATATAAACAGCATGTAATAGGACATGGATCATAAGTCATAGTTACTGTACAATCATTAACAAATATGTGAAACTTTTGGCATTCTATAGATTTCGCACATTGATGGTAACATACATATATAAAAATGGCATTTTGAGTGTGTGTGTGTGTTTCTACCTGTCCTACCTGATCTGGAAGAATGAGTATGCTCCACTACTGTTGTCTAGAAAGCATTGGCTGATGGAGCCACAGTAGGCCTAGAGCAGGGCTGTCAAACTCCTGGCCCCTGGGTCGGATGTTTCACATGCTGGCCATGTCCATGCCTGGTTTAGCGAAGGGGGGGGGGGAAGTCCCAATACATCACGTGACGCTGCTGTGACGACGTGAATTTGACACCCGTGACCTAGAGGGAGAAACTTTTTTTCTTTTGCTGTGTCACCATTCATAAAGCCCTGAAAACTTGGATTTGTGCCCAATTGTGGGGCCATGGTTATGGGTTAAAGCCAGTGGTGGTATTCAGCCAATTCTATCCGGTTTGGGCGAACTGGTAGGGGTGACTGCAGAATGCCCTGCCCACCGACACAGACATCATGACGTCCCATTTTTCCACGTTTTTGAGGCTCTGCGCATGCGCGCGCACACACATCTGCGAACCAGTAGGGAAGGTAAGTGAATATCACCCCTGGTTAAAACCCACCTTTTGGCTATATGGAAGATTTGTTAGATTATGCCTGGCTGCTATGTGTTTTCATTTTTGTTTCTTAGATTACGTATTTTGCCTGTTTTATTTGTTTTATTGCAAACTGCCTAGAAACACATAAACATGAGATGGGTTTATTTATTTATTTATTTATTGGTTCGATTTATATGCCGCCCTTTTCCAGAGACTCAGGGTGGCTTACAATGCGTTAAGCAATAGCCTTCATACTGTTGTATATATCTGCCTCGTAGGGCTTTCGGCCCTCCCCTAAGCGGTGTTCTTTTTTATACAAAGTCAGCTTATTGCCCCCACAAACAGGGTCCTCATTTTACCTACCTCGAAAGGATGGAAGGCTGAGTCAACCTTGAGCCTGGTGAGATTTGAACTTGCAGTAATTGCAGGCAGCTGGTGTTACTTAACAGTGATTTAGTCTGCTGCGCCACCAAGGGTTGGTATATAAATTGAATAAATAAATAAATGACAAAACAATTTTACAAACCTAGGGGGAAAATGATTCAACTATATGTTTTTCTTCGGCTAGAGACTCTTCCGCGTAACATGACCAGCTTCACAATTACAACAATGTGCAAGGAATAAATGCTTAGAAGAAGAAGAAAAATCCCTTTTCCCTCTATTGGAGGAATGCCTTCCCTTTGGTTCATTTTTTGTTCAGATCAAAAAGAGTTCAAAAGTTTATTAGGCACATAAAAATGCGGTGGGTCCCTTTCCAAGCAAGAAACATTTTTTAATAGATAGGTAGAAACACCTGAAGAACCAGTTTAGTGTAGTGGTTAAGGTATCAGGTTTGGACTACTTACTTTCTCTCAGCCTTAGAATGGAGACAATGGCAAACCACTTCTGGAAACCATTGTTGCTTTGTACTGAAGCAATGGAAGTAGGTTTCAGTCGGGGTGAAATCCAGCAGGTTTTGACAGGTTCTGGAGAACCGGTAGTGGAAATTTTGAGCAGTTCGGAGAACCGGCAAATACCACCTCTGGCTGGCCCCAGAGTGGAGTGGGAATGGAGATTTTGCAATATCCTTCCCCAGGAGTGGGGTGGGAATGGAGATTTTGCAGTATCCTTCCCCTGCCATGCCCACCAAGCCACGCCCACCAAGCCACACCACGCCCACCAAGCCACACCCACAGAACTGGTAGTAAAAAAAATGGATTTCACCACTGGCTTCAGTGTTCACAGATAGTGAAAAGAGCCCTTTGTCTAAAGAGATCTTGCTTCTCTTTGACAGACTGATGGAGAGTAGAGGAGACCAAAAGAAGAAGATCAAGGCATATCTGCAATCTGCTTTCCCCTTTATTTCAAGCAAGTTTATTTTTTTCCAATAAGAAGAAGGAGAAGCAAGCACACCTTTTCCAGTGATAAAATTTTCAAAGAACTCATCCCAAGTTTTGATGTCAGAATTATTAGGAGAACTCTACTACGTCTAGTTATCCAGATATAAGATAGATATGTGCTATATGTAATTCTTTGGGGGTATATCCATAGAATACAGAATTTATCAACACACCAGTGTTTGGCCTTTAAAGAACCTGATAAAGTCATTTTTCAATACTACACAAACAGTAAGAAAATGAATTTTACCAACTGTTTAATGTATTTTCATACATTGCATGGATTGATTTGGAAAATGTGTAATTGACATTTTCAGAATTACAGTATTGAAGATATTCATACAGTTTATTATTTTAAGCAGAAATGCCAATGTCATGGTTGTATGGAAGATTTATTAGATTATGCCTGGCTGCTACATGCTTTTATTTTTGTTTCTTACATGGCGTATTTTGTGTATTTTATTTGTTTTATTATAAGCTGCCTAAAAACACATAAAAGTGAGATGGGTGGGTATATAAATTGAATAAATAAATACATACATACATACATAACAAAACAATTGTACAAGCCTGAAGAAAAATGATTCAAACTTATGTTTTTCTTTAACTACAACATGACATTCATGACTTCACAATTACAAAAGTGCTGCAAAGAGTAAAAGAAGAAAAAAAAATCCCTTTTCCCTCTGTTGGAGAAATGTCTTCCCTTTGGTTCATTTCTTGTTCGAGTCAAATGCCAGAAGGTATAATTCAGAGTTTATTAGGCATGTAAGCAATAGCATTGGCCCCTTTCCAAGTGTGAAACACTCTTTTAAACACCTGAAGAGCCTGTTTAGTGTAATGGTTAAGGCATCAGACTTGGGCCAGTCACTTTCTCTCAGTTCTAAGTAGGAGACCATACAGCAAACCACTTCTGGAAATCCTGGTCAAGAAAACTGGAGGGACTTGTCCAAGCAAACTCCAAGAATTGGACATGATTAAATGGAGAAAAAAAACACCAAACAACTGGACATGTCTAGCCACAAAGGTGTTGTGTTTAACACCTATATTTCCCATTAATTAGTATACCTTATCCTTTGCCTGAAGCACAAGCATTCTCCTCATTCTTTGTTATCTTTTCACATCACTGTCTTGTTTCTCTATAATGGTGAAACACTAACTTCCTTCCAAATTGGTGTTTCATTTTCTAATAATAATTTTCTCATGCCCCCGTAAATGAATGACTGAGTTTAAATATTCAATATATGCTCCAAAATTACATTTAGCAAGCATGGGCTGAGTGATTTTTTTAACAATTCTACAGATCTGAAAATCTCTCACTACTAACCCCCAAAGCTGCTCCAAAAGGATACTGTCTTCAATGTATTGCATGTTAAAATCAAACAGCACAAACAGGACTGAGAACAACCCCATCCTAGCTCACCACATCTCATCATTAAGAGAATAACAGAGTTTAAGGGACCTTCAAGGTCTTCTAATCCAGCACCCTGCTCAAGCAGGACACACTACCAT